GTGAGCACAATGTCTGCAAAATACCTAAGGATGCTTCGCATACAGCTGACACTTAATAAATGTTAGTAGCCCCTCCCCTAGCACATTCCGCCCTGCTCTGGGGAGACACAACAGGAGACAGATGTTTTCTTCTTCCTTGGATTTCTCTCAACCTTTACGTGGCATGGGAACATGGATGCTAATTGCAAAAAAAAACCCTGCTTATTTTCAAACACGCTAGGAGTTTCTTTTTTAAAGAACAACAGCTCACATTTGAGCATTTAATCATGTGCCAGGCACAAATCAGTTCACAAATGTTGTTACAGTTCATCCTCACACAACGCTCTGAGGTGGCCTTGATTTTCAGAGGGACGAAATGGGTCGAAGAACAGAGGCCGGAACTTGGACCCAGGTATGTCAGACCCAAGGATTCTTAACCAACTTTCTCTCAATAGTGCTAAGACCTGGCATACATTTCCTGCAACTTTCTCTCCTGTTCCCACAGCCCATCCTTTAAAATTGGGTTTTGCTGGGGATTAGTTTCTGCTTATTATTATTTTTTCCCAAAGTATTTTTTCTTTGTTTCTGATAGAACGGGGGCAGGGTCAATAAAAGTAGGCAGAAAGAAAGGGAGAAAAAGGAGAGTTATCACACGTGACAAGTCTTAGGGCAGTATTAAGCAAAAGACAGAGAAGCCAGTCTTTACCCCCCAGTCAGTCAATCACACTGGCTCCACCCATTTCAGTCTCTGCACACAGATTTACGGCCACACTGGTCACATACTGCTCTGGGTGGGGGGCAGACCCTTGCTGCAGAGATATTCTAATGGATATTTCATTTTCTGGAAAACACACAGGCATGGGCATACCACACACACACACACACACGTGCTCTCTCAAAATGATGTCAAGTATCTACTCTAGCTCAATACACCAAATTTTCTTTTCTGTTAAGAACACAGATCAAAACTGGACAATTCCCAGCAAACAGGAACTTATGTTTTGGCTTTCTATTTGCAAAGCAGTAATAAGTATTTTGTCATTCAACCTTCTGGAAGATGTTTTTTTAAAAAGAATTTGTAGATGACAGAGAAAGTCTAAGTGTAGAGAGACTGAGTGGAAAGTACCTATATACAAGGCGAGGAAAAAGTAGGTTTACAGTTGTTTGTGTGGGAAATAATGAATGATACAATAATGAATGCATAATAATACAAGAATAAACTGTATTTTGCATACTCACAACTGTAAACCTGTTTTTGCCTCACACTGAATATATATTATATATACGCACACACTGTAAACATACAAAACATATATACCTGTGTGTATAATCACTTCTCCTTTTATTTATCTATTTTATTTAACATTTTCCAGTATGTGATTAAGCAGATGGCAACATGTGCAGTAAGATAAATATTGCTCAATGATGCATATATCTGTATACAAAGTGTAATGCATTGCTCAAGCAAAATAAAACTCCATTCAGAATGTGAAAAAAACAAACCGTCAATAAAATACCCTCTGTTCTCTGTGGTCTCCAAACATTTGGATAGAAAGAAAAGCTACGCCTCTGAGGCTGGTAGAACTGGAGGCGCTCTGGATACAGCGAACCAGTTTTTCAAAGTCACTGCCACTGTCGGAAAACATCCTGAGTTATCTGAGTAATGTGAAGCATGCGGAATTTCTGCTGAAAAATCAACATTTCAAAGAGATCAGACAATACCAAGACCCTGTTTCCTTTAAGAGTGTGTGTGCGTGCAGGGTAATAAAAATTAGGTTTCTTGAATGAAACTTACTGAATAACAGTTTATCAAAGGGCACAAGCAATAAACGTGAGGACTTCTCGAGGATCACTGGCAGCAAAGGGAAAGAAAGTGAACAGTCCTTACATGAACACACACAGTTCTCCTTCACTTTCTCCCAATCTATTCAGAACCTGTAGTATGATCTTTCTGACACTCTCTCTAGTGTCCTCCTCTTTTTATGAGTGAGCCCAACTGTTTCTTAAATTCTGAGATGACAGTCAAATCCACAGCTTATTGGAGACCCAAAGAAAAAATATCAGTGTCATAGCCACAAAACTCAGCTACAATCCAGCCAATAATTCTAATATTTAAGAGCTTTGAAAGAGGCTGAAAGGAAAAGGGAAGCTTATAAATCTTTTAGGGCTGTGCCCATCTTGCCACCATCCTCACCCTCTCAGACTAATCCGACTACGTCTGTTTAGAAAACTGAGCGTTTCCTCCTGGCTCCTTAAAATGAACCAAAAGTAAAAGCAGGTCCTTTGACTGGGGTGCAGCTCCTCAAACATAAAATGTACATGTGCAGAAGCTGTGGGAGGGTGGACACAAGGAAGCGGCCAAGATCTGCTTTAGAAAATGCTCTGTGCTCAGTGCCTGCCTGACACTCTTTGGGACACACCCACCACCACCACCAGGGCCACAGATTCCTTCTGTAAGCAAGAAGCACAACTGCCCACCGGACCCCACCCCCAGACCTCAACAGAGCAGAGTTAATTAAGCACCATCTCCCAAGCCTGTGCCTCATCAGCTCTTCACAAGAGCCATCTGTAAAATCACAGGGAATTTGTTTTTCAACGTCCTTCTCCGGAATCCAAAGCACCATGCCAAGCAGCTCCATCAGGGTCTGCAACGAACCTCATGTTGCAAGGACCTCAGTGGCTTGAGAAATGGTCTGGTCCTCTCCTAGCATGCAATCCAAGCTCAGGCAACACCAGACTTTGGGAACAGCCTGCCCCCTTCTGGTCTCCTTGAGCTCTGTGGAAGGGCAGGGGCTGGGGGGTGGGGGTGGGAGGGACACACGGACAGAGGAGGACAGACTCCTGGCCCCACTCAGCAAGTCAGCACTGTGATGTCAGGACCTAGCAGGACATAGGGCTACATGGTGTGTGTGTGGCAGTGGGGGAGGTAGGCAAGGGAAACGAGAAAACACAAACATAAAATTCAAATCCAGGAGACACAACAGAAAACAATAGCATGGTAGAAAATTATGAAGAAGGGGGAGGGAGAAAAAAGAAAAAAAAACATGTACATGTCTACATCGGAAGGTGAAGAAATTGAGACACTGGGAGACATGGATGGGTGCCAGTAACTGAATTGCAGAGCAAAGCAGAGTTTCAGAAAAGCAAAGCAACTCTGCCACTGGAACTGGCATTCCAAAGGGAATAAAAAAGGAAGAATGTCACACTCTCACCTACCTTCCCAACTGCTAACTACTCTGTGGCTGTGCTGGGAGGTGAGAGAATAAGACACTGAACTGAATGCACAAAGTGGAGAGGTGGACAGAGTACGCAAGTGTCAGAGACCCAGCAAGAACCTCGACAGCCAGGCCTCTTTCCTCCTCTCTACTAGTTTCAACAGGTGATATTTACACCCAAAGACACCCCAGGTGTGAACCTCAGGTGCAAAGGATAAAGTAAGTCCCGTGCTAGTCCTACAAGTGTTCCCACGTGGGACCAGCAGTGCATGACCCGAACCCCTCCCACCCACCTCCCAGTAAGGCTCTGAATCCAGGAAGAACTTCTAATTGCATTTTTGCCCTAACCACCCCTGGCGTTCAAAGGGGAGTACCCCTTGCCGCAAATAAGAGGCTGCAGGTCATTGGAAATGTTCTTGTTCTCCATCAGGAATCTCAACCCATTGTCCTCCCCACAAAAGGAGAGAAAGAGGGCTCCCTGCTACCCACACAGACCAGCCACCAGCAACAGGACCTGCCATCACATCACCAGCCTAGTGGCGCAAAGAGCTGCACTCTAGCAAAGAGGGTCGCCTCGACGCCAAAGAAGTTTAGCAGAGCAACAAGCATCACAGTGTCTGAAGCCAGCCTTCAGTAAAGGCTCCTGAAGTGACGAACGACAGAGACATGTGTTCAGTGTCTAGGGATCCTGTAACTACCCCTTGCTGTCCAAGAGCTAGATTTCCGGTAATCGAGTGGCACGTTGAAGACAAAGACAGATGAAGATAAAGACAGAGTCACAGCACTCCTTTTGCCTTAAGACAGACACACCCACCAAAACCGAGACCCTGGCCCAGAACTGGGGACTCTGACTTCCAGTTCTGAGAGCTCCGAGTTCAGTGAACTCAGTAAGAATGCCCAAAGAAGGTATGAAAGGCACCCCTGGAGTTGAGGACAGTAGGAAGACACCCAGATGGCCCCAAAAGACCTGCGGAAGGAAGAGTTTCAGAGCCGGGACCAAGGAGAGAGCACAGAAAACCCACAGCAGCCCACCTCATGATGGCGTGGTGGGACACAGCTGGCGACAGGAATCTGCTACACACGACACAGAGAGCCAGAGACACCACCTAGGAGAAGGGGTCATGCTCTGACACTGGAGAGCAGGGTGAGGAAAGTCAGATAGGGCACAAGGAAAGGGCAAGGTTAGAGACTGATAAGGTAAAGGCAGGAGTCAGACATGCAGAGATGGGAGTAAGACCCAAACTAAGACCAGGCACCCTACACTGAGTCCTGATTCAGGGACAAGGCTGGGGACTTGGGACACCGATCCCAGACCCCGTCTCAGTCCAGGGCAAAGAAATAAGGCAGCGAACCAGGCACTGAGTTGTCTGCACCCAGCTCGGTAAAAACCAGAGACGCTGCGAGATCCACCCTTGAGCAGCGGCTGAAGACACCGGGCACCATCCACTCACTCAGACAGGGTTTGAGGCACCAATCACCTACATGCCTAGAGCAAGTAGGAGCGCCCATAACGAGTGATGGGGAACAGGCACCCAGCCAGCTCCTGTAACCCCCAAAGCACCTCCTCTGGAGATAACTTCCCCAGACCCCAAGGGGGCAGTCCTCAGACTCAAGATGGGGCAGCCCCCGGCCCCTAAGCTTTGGCAGGGTCCCCACCCCGACTTCCAGGGAAAAGGGATGTGGTGCCAGCAAGCTTGAGGAGTCCCAGTCTGATGACCAGGGCTCAAGGACTGGGGGGCGTGGGGCCAGGGCTGCTTGGCCCCCTTCCTTCCTCCCTCTGGGACGCAAGCCGAAGGGACATCTTACCAGAGCGTGTGCGGGCAGTGCCCCTCGGCTGGCCGGCTGCTGTGCCCAGGGTTCTCCGGCGCCGCCTCCCCGTGCCCGCGCTGGGGGCCCCCGTCCTCCGCGGCTGCCGCCGCCTCCTCCACGGGCTGCAGCGGGCTCGGCGGGCAGGTCCCGGCGCTCGCGGCGCGGGGCCGGGGCTGGAGGCGGCTGCTCGGCGCCGCCGACCGCTGCGCCCCCGAGGCGCTCCCCGGCCCCAGAGTCGAGGCTGCTGAAATTCCACACGACCAGCGTCTGCAGCAGCAGCACGGTGAGTGCCGCGAGCAGCGCCGAGTGCGAGCGCCGGGCCAGCCTCCGGGCGCACGGCGCCGCCACCATCTTCGGAGCGCGGCGGACAAGCGGGGCTCGGGGACCCGGGGCGCTCCGGGCCGCCCCCGCGCAGCCCGTGGCTCGTGCGGCCGCCGGCTGCCACTCGGGCTCCTGCTCGGGCCGCTGCCGCCGCCTCGGCTCACTGCTGTTTCTCCTCCTCCTCTGCCGCCGCCGCCGCCGCCGCCACTGCCGCCGCCTCCACCGCCGCGGCGCGGAGTTTTCAGACGGGCAGAGACCCGGACGTCACCAGGAGGAGGGGAAGGCGGGGAGGCGGGGAGCGGGAGGCCGCGGAGAGGGGCGCCGGCGCGCGCTCTCGGGGGACGGCACGCAGGGACGGGTGGCGGTGCCCAACCCGCGGGGCTTCCCCTCCCCACATCCCTCCCCCCGAGGGGCGGGTGACCGGGAACCGGCTGGGGGGACGCGGGCTGAGGTGGGGAGAGGCGGGGCCTAGAGGTGGAGCGAGGGAAGAAAAAGGAGGAGGGAAAAGAAGGGGGTGGGGGCAAACAGAGAGGACGGACCCCTACTACGGTCGGAGTGGGGTAGGGGGCCAGTTCCCGCGGCAGAGAAAAAGAGGCGGGGGCAGAAATCAATAGGAGCTTTGGATGAGGGTGGCCCGCTCAGAATCGAGGGGGTGGGGGTCGGGTGGCAGATCTGGGGGTCCTGAGATCCTGCCTTCCATGTGGGAAGCAGCACGAGGCTGCTGAATGGAGCATGCTCCGCGCCCCGGTGTTTGCGGTCCGGGACCTTCTGTGCGCACAAAGACTGCTTGGCAGGTGGAGACGTGAAGAACGATTCAGGAGTGTCAGAGCCACACAGAGTGATCCTTGGATCCTTAGCTTGAAGGGGCAGGGAGGAGACTATGAATGAGTCTGTGTGAGTGACTTCTGAATCACACCCACCCCCTAGTGCCAACGATGTACTGAGTGTTTCATTGAGTCACTTCCCTGGTCCCTAAGGACGTATGTACAAGCCAAGAAACTCCAAGCCCAGCAGGCAAGCAAGTGTTTTAGTGGAGAAAGGGAGACTCTGTGAAGTTTCTCAGCCTTCACAAGGTACAAGGCCCAAAGTCTGGCCCCTGAGCCTTCCACCAGGTCCTTTTTCCCAAGCATCCTGAAGCCTTCCTTCCAGCTGGGGCAGGGCTCAGCTTCTAGGGGAACCGGTCTTGCCATTTGACTACACCGCTACACTGTCGCACTGACCTTGAGCCAGGAGAACTCCTTGGGCCTAAGCTTCCTCCTCTGTCAATGAAGGTTTAGACTGAGGATCCCAAAGGGCTCAAGTTTCATTCCCAGCCTTCTCTAACTCAGTCTTTCCTGTCTTTCCCTCCCTTGTCCTTTGCCCAAGGCTTCCTACACAGCAGCCCTGAACACACAGAGAGGATAGAGAGAGTGGGGGGGGGGGGGGGTCAGGATTAAGCACTATGAGAATACAAATAGCAGAGCCAATTCCCAGTCTGAATTGCAACCTCGAAGTGAATGTTTTGCTTCTTGTCCATTGTGCTTTTAAATATTCTAATTTGTAAAGAGAAGAAAGTGGAGGAATAAAGAGGATTCATCAGAGAAGGAGGCAGGGAGATTGTCCTATCCACTCAGAAAGAGTTCATGGGCATCAAACTGTCAGACGCTGGACCAGGTGCAGGGATCCACAGGTGAGTAAGGCTGAGTGTCCCCTTCACTTACGCTTGGGGTCTAGAGTAAGAGCCAGATGTAGATTTCAGTCATTAAAACACAGTCAGGTTGGTGTCACTTTAGAGATGTGCATGAAGTGCTATGTGTTCATGAGGATGGGGTGGGAGTGGTGACCAAGAAAATGAGGTTCGATCCAGCAACTTAGAACTATGGCCTGGGATTCCTTTTCTTCCCATCTCTCCTCCCTGCCTTTCACCGGTCAGCTTCATCCTGAGCGTCTCCCTTCGAGTCAGCCTGGCATCAGTTGCTGAGACTACTTGTATCCTTTGTTCATTTCTAGCCCAGGAGAAGGAGGGGCAGTATTTCCCATTTCCCAGCATTTCGCTCAAAGGCCCAGAGATTCTCTCTGACTGAAGCAGCTTTAAGATGACTCCTAAACCAAGTACTTTAGCCAGGAAGATAGAATGTGCTGGCCAAGGTCCTATATATCATCACCTCTGGCCCTGGGGAGAAGCCAGCTCCCCTGCAACCACCTGGGGGTTTCATAGGAATCAGGGTCTTTATGGGAAGAAGTGAATAGGTACAGGGGAGGGAGCACCATTATCTACTCCATGCAGCCACTATGATGCTACGTGACCTTGGGCAAGTCATTCCCCTCCAAGGACTTTGGGTTCTTCATTGCTAAATGAGGGGTTGGGTGACATGGTCCCCAAGATCATCATGTCATATCCCCAGAACTCGTCCTCAGTATCTACACAGAGCTTCCTAATCCCAGTAGAGGCTGAGGATTCTTGGCACTCCCCTCCCCCATTCCTGCCCATCTTTGCTTCAAGGTCTGGGCAGCATTTTTCCTCTAAGCAACGACGATGTTATCTACTTCCTGCAGCGATATGTTAACCACAGTCCTTTGTGGCCCATGCTCTGGTTCAGCTCCCACCAGGGCCACAGGCTGAAGGAGCAAGGTTAAGGATCCAGGCCCCTAAGTCCCTGGAGAGAGTGAGAATTGTTTGTTTATTTCAACTCATAAAAAGCCACACGAAAAAGAGGTTTAAAAGCTCCAAGCAGGTTATGGATGCCATAAACAGCTTATGTGAGGCTTTTAGGACGAAAAATCACCTGAGATAGAAGAGCAGGAAGGCCAGCTAGTATGGTCACTGAGACCCTCCTCCCGCTCCAAGACAGACAGCTCCTCAAGCATCTTTATGGAGCCCAATGTAGAAGACAGAGACGAAGTGCTGCCCAAGACTCTGGCAGTGGCAGCCTTAGCAACGGCAGCAAGTTCCTTTAGAATTCTTAAAGCTTATTCCGTCATCGAACCCAGATGTATTGGACCCTATTATGCACTAGGCATCATGCTGGGCTAGTGAAATATAGATATGAAGAAAATTCCCTGAGGAATTTTTCTTTATAAATATGGTTTCTACTCTCGCGTTAACTGAGAGCCAGAGCTCTAAGGAAGTTCCAACTGATTTGTGGGTGGGCTTCCCTCCCCGGTCCCCACCCCGAAATCCTGTTTCATCATCACCTTCAAGTGTGGGGAGGGTCAACTAGTCAGCAAGTCGTTTTGAGCTCCTGGGTGTGCCCATCGCTAAGCCAGGGGTTGTGAGGGGAATCGGGAGAAGGGGGGTCTTCACCTTTATGGGCTGTCAAGTAGATCCCCAATTCTCCAACTCTTCACTGAAACTGTCAGTGTCTGTTGTTTACCTTCTCTGTGCCTAGTTTTCTCATCTGTACAAAGGGGGATTATAACAAGGATAATCATATAAACATTTCTTTTAAGGATTAAATGACATAACCTGTGTAAAGTTTTTTCTATAGGAACTTGCACATAATAAGTGCTCAATAAATATTAAGTATTATCTATTTTCATAATAACAGTAGGGCAGTGTCGATGATTCGTGTCTAAAGATATTGAAGGGGAAAAAGGCTAGTCAGGGAAGGCTGCCTGGAGGAAGTGGCACTAAATCTAATCCTTTATTTTATAGGAAGCTCCAAGGGCAAGGACCTGCTCCCTCTGGCCCAGGGCACTGAGTGAACTTTGGGTGTGGAATGAACACCAGCTGGTGGATCACAGGATGGTGCCTACAAGTACCTGGACTCCATCAGCATCCCAGCAGCATTTCAGTTGTGTGATTTTAAGCAAGTTGCTACCATTACCAAATCTCAATATTCCAGTATTTAAAAGGTGAAGACAAATAACACTGCCTATATCCTAAGTCTCCTGTGGGAGGAGGGTAGCAGGGGTTAAGGGTATTGTATGTAACAGAGTGTTATATATTTCATAGGAAACGTTGGTGCTGGCCAGTGGCAGAGTTGAGGGAATATTAGTTTGGTTATGTTGGGAGGCTGGTTTGTAAATAAATGCTCTCCCCTTCCCTCAAGTAGTCCAGACAGAAGGTACTGGAGAGCCAGAGCGTGGCATGCCTTCTTCTGAATTTAAACAAATTTCAGGAGTCAAATTTAGTCAAAAATGCAGGGTTTAAAAAAAAACTTAATCATGTTGTCTGTTTCTTTTCAGTTTGTTAGAACCTGTTTTTACCCAGATTCTACAAATTGACTGTGAGTTTGTTCTTAAAAACCTCCCCCTAGTTTTCACTTCTGTATCAAACAGAAATAATAGGCATGGGTCACCTGTTCCTGAGTGTCGGTGAGAGAGTTATACACAAAACATGGTCGCATTGCTAGGAATCCTGGTTTTCTTGGACAAGAGGATGCAAGTGCCAGTTTGCCTGGGCACAAAGAGGTCAGCAGGGGCAGGAAGCTGAAAGCCCCCAAACACCCTCCGAAGGACAGAGGGCCATAGACCTGCAGTAGCTCTACCCCAGCCCCCAACTCCACCCAGGAAAAGGAAACGGTTTCTGATCACACCAAAGGCGTAGGTAGGCAACATGAAACTGCAGGTTTCCTAGCAGCCTGTGTATCAGCAGAGGGAGCTCTAGGTAGCAAATAACTTTCTTCTGACCACATACTTCCCTGTAGAAAAGACTTGGAGACAGCAAGGGAAAGCTGGGGCCCTAAGTGGATATGGCGTCCGCTCTGTGCAGAAGGGATTTGCAACCGTAGGGGGTGTGGGGTGGGGGTGGAGGATGATGGGACAGAAGAGGAGACATCAAAAGGGACCTGAAGATCAGAAACCACCACATAGTTTAAGAGATTATCTGACCTTGTTCTCTACCAGCTCCTTGACCCCCTGAGGTCTCACCGCCTTTATGCTTCCTCTGCAACACTATGAGGTTTGAAAAGGAGACACACTCCAGATCTGGGTCTTAGGCTCTTGTAGCAGACTTTTTTTTTTTTAACTCTTGAAAATAAATGTTTATTGTGTGTGTGAGTGGAGCCTTATATGACACCTGGGGTTATGTGCTTAGAATTGTGCTGATGACAGCAGTAATGATGGTGACGATGATGAAGGGGGGTATTGGTGATGGTGAGAGTTAACATTTATTAAGCACTTACCATGTGCCAAGACCTGTGTTGAGGACTTGAACAAATAATGGTCATCAAAAAGTTATTGAGAACCTACTCAGTACCCAAGATGGTACCCAGCTTGGGGACCTGGTGACAAATAAGACTGG